ACACATATATAAACATATATGCCCATAGACACACACAGACACACATACAAACACAAAAGGAAATACAAAAACCTTCTTAATTGACAAGAAAGCTTGGCTACAGTATCATTGAGATGCTTTATGGCAAATAAATAAATTCTGAGCATATGAGCAGATAAAAATGGCCACAAATACAGACTGGTGCTGTGGCTCATGGCTCACGTGTGTGATCCCATCACTTAGGAGGCTGAACTGGGGTCATTACCATGATTCTGAGGCCAGCCTGTGCTAGACCGAGACCCTGTCTTACGACCCAGGGCTTTGCTGAGCTGTTGCCCTCTCTGGGCCCTTAGGTCGGACCGCAGCCTGGCTCCTAGCCAGGCCACTGATTCTCTGCCTCTCTTCTCTTCTAGTTCTACGGAGCGTCTGTGGCCTACGAAAACGCCCTCCGAGTGTTTAACATCGTCTTCACCTCGCTCTTCTCTCTCGAGTGTGTGCTGAAAGTCATGGCCTTTGGGATTTTGGTACGTGGGGCCCGAGGGTAGTGGGCAGCGGGAACACATAGGCTCAGGGTACGGGAGAAGTGTGTGCTCTGGGCCCCAAGACCTGGTCCCCAGCGAAGGCCCACGCCCAACTGCACAGCTTTGTGCTGACCTAGAAATAAGTACCAGGGAGGCCAATCCAGATTTGCCGGGAGCTAGTGGTAATGTATTCGGCTGTCCTCCAGATGACCCAGTCAGAGGTTCTGATGTCAGAAAACCACAACCACAGAGGACAAGTCTCTAGTAGTCACACCGGCCAGGCCTGGTGGAGGACACCTGTCACCCCAGTATTTGGAAGGCTGAGGCAAGAGACTCTGGAATTCAAGGCCAGCCTGGGGCAGAGTAAGACATGTCAGAAGTAAAGACAGAAAGGATGGAAGGGAGGTAGGAGAAGAAAGGAAGGAAGCGAGCAGTTTTGACCGAAGCCCAGCAGATCTCACGGCGCAGTGCACAGACACCAGAGTGGAATCCCAGGACCCACCCCACTGTCGTTTTACTTCATCTTGACTTTGTAATTAATTTTATTTACGTGCGTTAGTGTGTGTGTGTGTGCGCGTGCGTGCGTACATGCATGTGCCACATGTGTGCCTGGTGCCCTCGGAAGCCAGAAGAGGTCAGCGAATCCCCTGGGAGTAGAATTATGGAGAGTTGGGAGCTGCTGTGTGGGTACTGGTCATTGGACCCAGGTCCTCTGGAAGAGCAGCCAGTGCTCCTAACTGCTGAGCCGTCTCTGTCCCCTGACTTCATTCTGAGACAGAGTTTCACTACGTTACCCAGGCTGAAAGCTGAGAGATGGCTCAATCAATAAAGTGCCTGCCTCAAAAGCATGAGGAATTCAGTCCCTAGACCCCCCCCCCTCTCCCCACACCAAAAAAAGAAACCTGGGTATGGTGGCATGCACTCGTGATCCTAGCACTGGCGGGGCGGAGGGTAGAGGATGGAGGGCCCTGTGCTCCCTGGCCTGACAGTCCAGACAGCGGGAAACCTTGTCTCCAAGGTGGCAGGCAGCGTTCCTGAACATGACTCTTGAGTCTGTTCTCTGGCCTACACCCATACAAATCCAGGTGCGTGCATACACAGGATCACGCACACATATGTCCACAAATGGGAAAAGAGGCCCAGACCGGCCTTGCTTTGACCCTCCCTCCCTCAGTGCCGGCTTTGAACTTGCAATCTCCATGTGTCAGCTTCCCCAGAGTTGGTATGACAGGCAGCCTTGTGCTATCAGGCACAGCCATGCCGTGATTTCTAAAATTGTCTCTTTCATCCAGGTGAATTTTTCTTTTAACGGTGTATCATGCCCTGCTAAGTGTTTTGTCTACACTGGTGGCCTAGTCTTCATCTGAGGCACTCAGCTCCCCCAGGGAAGTGATGAGGAGGTAGAGGGACTGTGAAGTTACGCAGGGAAGCCACACCCTCACTTTCACCAGCTCCTAACTGAACTGGAGTGCCTGCTTTCATCTTGATGTGTCAGTGTCCTGTGGCTGTGACAGATGCTGAGAGATCCATCTTACTAAGCTGGGAAGGTTTATCTTTGGTTCAGAGTTTCCGAGGTTTCAGCCCATGGCATTTCAGCCCCATTGCCTTTGGGCCTGTGGGAAGGCCACTGGACATGATAGAGAATGAGGTGGAGCAGAGTACCCACTTCATGGCAGCCGGAAGCCAAGAGCAAGGGAAAGGAGCTGGCTGGCCCTGGTGGCCTGCTTCCTCTCATGGGAATCCAGCACCTCCCAGTCACTGGCTACCTAGCCTTCCCCTGTGGGTCTCTGGCCCAGCCCCTACCAAACTCATGATGTATTTCTAATAGCATCCATTTGACACAGAAGTATTAAGTGTTTTTAAATCAAGCCTGGCAGCATGCACCTGTAACCTCAGCACTGAAGGCTGAATCAGGAGGCTTACAAGTTCAAGGCCAGCCTGGTTCACATAGTGAGCTTCAGGCCAGCCATGGCTAGATAGCAAGACAAAGCCAAAGAAAAAGAAAGAAAAGGAAAACTCACTATTTTTGTAGGGCTTTAGAAGGCTCATAGATATCTTGAAATTTAGCTTGTGTTCTTTCAGAGCGCAGGTGGTGAGCCAGACTTTGAGATGCACACTGGGAATCCCAGCTCTCGAGAGGCTGAAGAAATAGAATCAGGAGTTTAAGGCCAACCTGGACTACATGAGACCCTGCCCCCACCAAAAAGACCTATTATGTACAGTCAGTGTGGTGGTGCTCACCCTTAATCCCGGCACTCTGAAGGGAGAGGCAGGAGGATCTCTGTGAGTTTGAAACCAGCCCGTGAGCTCCAGGCCAGCCAAGGCTACGGAGTGAACCACTGTCTCAGAAACAAAACAGCAGCAGCAGTGAGTGGGGGAGAGGAGGGACAGGGAAGGGCTTCACCCCCCCCCCCAGTCATGGAGACCACGCGGCCTTCGACCTCACTCCCTTTCACTAGGCCCCACCTCTTAAATTCACACCACCTCCTGTGGACACCACGGGCTGATGACCCGGCCTCTTGGCCTCAAGGACTCAAAGTGTAGCGTGCAGTTGTTGTGTTGAGGACTTCTTAGAGGTGCATGTGAACTGCCCACTGTTGTCTCCTGGTTCCGTCCTCCTGGAGGGCTCCCGGCGGGCTCGGCCAGCCTCCAGGACAGAGTCCTCACCTTGGCTAACTGAGCTACTTGAGGTCTTGAACACCAGAAAAGCCTGGACTCCAAGTCTGCCCCCCTTCCACAGGGTGTATCACCTGATTGTAACTAGAAGGGGTCACTCCTTCAGCAGAGTCCCTGGTAGCGTCAAACCCAATAATGCATATCAGGGCTGCCCTTCTTGGGGTCACCTCCCAAATCAGTTATTGGCACTCAGTCCTTGTCTCAGGCTGTTCATCCAAGGAATACCCGTGAAGCCTGGCAGGGAATGGGCACTCTATAAATACTAGAAAGGGTGAAAATAAAGCTCATGGGGGTTGCAGACGGCTCAGTCAGTGCAGTGCTTGCCACATAAGTGTGCATTCAGACACTAGCATCCGAAAAGACGTGTGGTGGGCATATCTGTAACCCCAGCACTAGGGAGGACTCCTGGGGTTCACTAGCCAGAGAGCCTAGCAAGCTCCAGACCAGTGTCTGAGAGACCCTGTCTCAAAAGACACCCTAGATTGACCTTTAGGCTCTGACATCCACAGGTGTGGCCAAATTCACATGTGGGCGTGTACACATGCACGCGCGCGCGCGCGCGCACACACACACACACACACACACACACACCAGCAGCACATGGGCAAATGTCTTCAAGTTGAATGTGTCCCAGACCCCCCTCCAGAAGTTCCATGTTGTTGGGTAACAGCCCCAAAACTTAGTTTTCTGGTTATGTTTTTATAGACTCACAGTGTAGCCCAGGCTGGCCTCAAACTCTCAATTTCCCTGCCTCGGCCTTCTGAGTACTGGAGTTTACAAGTGGCAGCACCATGCCAGCCCAGTCTTGTGGGTTTTGGTTTCTTTTGGTCTTTTTTGAGACGAGGTCTCACTGTACAGCCCTGGCTGATTGGCTCTACCGCTGCCTCCAGAGTGCTGGAATTAAAGGCATGCACTATCAAACCCGACTTCAAACGTATTTTTAACAAGTATTCCCAGAAAGCTCTGTAAGGGGTAGCCTGAGCAATGGGGCACTGAATTGTGTCCATGCTAGGTCCCTGCAGGAAGGAGAGCATGACCAGGAAGTCCCATGTCTCCTGTGAGCTGTGCTCCACAGAAGAAGCATGGAGAATGGTTCTTGGTGATCACAGGAAGGTGTCAGCTCCCAGCTTAACCTAACATGGATTCACATCCCCCTCCACCTGAGTGGATCCCACCCAATCCCTCTGTATCTTTGCCCTTGTTGGCACTTCTAAGAAACCAGAGCTGGAACATTGGCCTCCCGCTACTGAGAGGAGCTACCTTCTTCTCAGCCAGTCTTCCACTGTGCAGGGCTGAGGCTCCACACCCTTACAGTGTCGATTCTTTAGGAGACTTTCACGGAAAGCCTGAAATTCCTCATGTGACATTCAGGTGACAGGATCCTGAGCTGAAGATCAGTGGCCAAACACCTAGAGGTTGCCTTCATTGAGTATTCCCCTCATTCAGCGGAGTCTGAAATGAGGGTTAAATGCAAAGAACCTACCTGGGAGGTGACGACTCCCGAAAGGGCAGGAGAGGAGAAGAGTCAAGGACAGGGACCCCACTGCCCACAGTGGAGCGTGCCTTACAATGCAGTCAGCGCGTGGGGCTCCGTTCCACCTGAGGCCTCCAGGTGGCAGCAGAGAGCACAGTCACCAGCAGGGATCTCTGAGGAGGGAAGTGTATTGAGCACCCAGGGGCTGTCAATCAAGAACTGCAGCCAGGGCCTGACCCTGGGAGACAGTCAAGAAAGCCAGTGATGGTATATGAGGGAAGGTTAGGCCCAAATATCAGAAGTGCCACCGGGACCTGAATTCCCTCCAGGCAAGTGTACCCCAGCACTCACCTGTTGAGCACATACTGCCTATCAAACTGCAAACTGTGCTTCATGCATACCCATGATCTGACGGCCCAGGAACTCCCGGCTCTGGAGCCTTCCCAATGAGGCAGAAGGACAAGGGAAAAGCTGCTCACATGTGATTTTTTTGTCGGAGCAAGAGGGCTCTCTGGAGATTCGAGGCTATGAACCTGGGATAAGAACGCAGCCTGATAATGCACGTCTTGAACCAGTACAGAGCTGGGACATGGGTCGGTCAGGGGAGGTCACTGTAACACACGTCCCCTGAATCTGAGGCTTCTGTCAACAAAGAAAGCCGGGGGGGGGGGGGAGGTTACCTCCTGGTTACTTGGGGATCCAGCCCCCCCGGAACAGCCAGCTGGCACAGGGTTAGGAGAGCTCTGGGCTCAGGGCCAGGGAGATGGACCGCTTTATAAAGTGTTGGCTGTGCGAGCGTGAGGACCTGAGTTTGATCCCCAGCGCCCGCGTGAAGCCCTCCCAGCGGCCTGTGGCCTCAGCTCCGGGGAATCAGACACCCACACAAAGACATAATAATTCAATTTTTAGAAGTCACGTGAAAGCCAGACCTGGCGGTGCGCACCCGTAGCGAGGGGAGGTAATCAGGGAGATCCATGGGGCTCGCTGGCCAGCCAGCCTAGCTGAGTCTGTGAGCTCCAGGTGAGCGAGAGACCCTGTCTCAAAGAACAATGGGTGTCTCCTGAGGAAGAGCATCTGAAGTTGACCTCTAGCCTCCACACCCACGCGGACATGTGTGTGTGCAGCCCACAGAGACGGAGACACAGAGATGCTGGAGGCTCTCACCGGCCAACAGCACTAGCTTTGCTCACAGCAGCCTCAGCAGCCAGGAAGCCCTGTTCCAATGTCCTCTCTTGTCCTTCTCACCCACATCAGGAAACAGAGACACAGAGTGGTTAAGCACTTTACCCACAGCCACACAGCTCTGGTAGTAGAGATGGGATCTGAACTCAGAGGCTGTCCTCTTAGACAGTGGCCATAAACTTAATGGGGCCCTGAATACAGACACTGGGCTCCCCTGAGCCTCCTTTCAACACTGACTCTAACTGCACCGTGGCTGCTGGCCACGGGCAGGAAGCCTGTTCACATCACAGCGTCTCACTGCCACCACCCCTAGTGTCTTTGAGGAATTCCGTGATGTCCTGGGCACTTGAAGAACTTTGGGAAATGTTCAAAAGATGGGCCCAGCAGAGCAGAGGCAGGTCCCTGAATCCCGTCTGGGGCAAGCTGTCAGGATCAGGGTTCAAGGCAGAGGGCTCTGATGACATGGAGCTGCTCTTCCCACACATTTGTCATGCCCCAGGATGCCCCTTCTGGCCTTGGGGAGTGAGGGCACAGAGTCCTCTGTTGGCATCTTTGTTTTGTGGGTCCCTGTTCTAGAATTATTTCCGCGATGCCTGGAACATCTTCGACTTTGTGACTGTTCTGGGCAGCATCACAGACATCCTCGTCACCGAGTTTGGGGTAAGTCTCCCGCCAGCTTCTCTCTCGGGGACTCGGGACTCGGGCTGAAGTAGTGGGAGGTGGCAGGAAGGGGGTCCAGAAGCAGCGGTTCCTGGTGGGCACAGTGGGCTACGACCAGTGCTTGGCGGGAAGCACAGGGGGGAGCGGAGATGGGGAGTGAGTGTGAAGAGTTTTTCTGGGTGGTGATTTGGGGGTGCAAAGACAGCCCCTTAAGGTCTCAGTGAGGGGAGATGGGTGTGTCCAAAGCCAGGACATAGGGCAGGGCTGAGAAGTGCGCTTCCCTGCCTGGTGGCTGGTGAAATTATGAACAAAGAGTATGGCTTAGGATAAGTAATGCAGTCCGCTACACTGAGAACTGATCCGTTTAAAGGCGAATAGAGCTCAGCGCCTGCTCCAGCCGGTCCACAAGGTTGGGTTCCACTGACCCCTGCTAGCCTGTTGGGAATAGCACTGTCAAAGCCTTAGGGTAGTCCCTGGAACAGGAGCCCTCTACCACCCCTTCCAAATAGGGAAAGGGGGGCAGATCCTGAGCTCTCGGGACACATTGTCCTTATCCCTTTTCAAGGAAATCCAGGGCCCCAGAATTCCCCTTCCAGACCTTGTCCTTGGCCATAAGCCAGTGAGCCCAGACTTGGGAGCCCTCAGGAAACTAAGGGGACAGTAGAAGATCCTCCCAGGGACAGGAAGGCACCAGCAAACCATCAATGCCCAGGCCAGTGGTGGGGTGGGTCCCCCCCCCCAATGACAATGGAAATAATAATAACTGGACTGGGAGTGTGACCCAGCAGCAGACTGCTGGCTTGGCCTGTGTAAGGCCCTGGGTTGGTTTCCTCACCCCCAAAACCAAAACAAACAAACAAAAAAACACATTTAGAATATTGTACCAAGCACTTCATATGAACTGGCTCCCATTGAGAGTCTGGGCTCAGTGCACAGGAGAATTGTCTCAAGGGTTAGACTGAAGGAACTGAAGAGCAAGTCCAAGAGGGTGAGTGAAGGATCCCAGGGTATCCAAACGCCCAGCCATCATGCTGAAGTGGAATGGCTGGACACAGACCAGGGTGGCAGGCAGCAGAGAACAATGCGGAGAGACCCTGCCTCCCCATCCTCTCCCACCAGTGCCCCTTGCTGACCCTGCATGGGATGGATGGGCAGGATCGAGCTGTCTCAGTCCACACAGCAGGGTACTTGACACCCAGCACCAGGAGGCAAGGCCTGACTGACTCCTGCAAGCTCTGGAAGTCCCAGAACAGACTTAACCATTTGCCTACTCCTGCAAGGCTGGCACTTCCAGGGCCTTCAGAAGGGAGTGTCAGGACAGCCTTGAGACAATGTTCCTTTGGGGTCAGAGGTTGGGAGGAGCTGTCTGCTCCCCAGCAGGGCACGTGGAAGGAGTTAGTTGAAACTTCCAGACATCCACAGGTCTGATCCCGACTGCTTACTCTAGCAGGTAGGATGGGGACAGATGGAGGCCAGTTCAGAGACATGTAGACCATTACAGTAGCCAAACAGCGCTCCCAACCACCCAAATGGCTCTTGTCATATCGTCCCTTAGGCAGCAGGGATAATGCCGCCACTTCATCAATTCCATACACAACTCAGACCCACTCGGCCTTAGGCAGGCACATATTGGGCACCTGCTGTTTCCAGCAGAGTTATAGGTACTAGAGACAGAGCAAAAAGCAAGATGAAACAGCAGTGCCTGACCCAAAGGGCTTCTGCTCTAGAGAGGACCAGTCAATAACAGGCCACCAAGATGGCTCCGTGGGTTAAGGTGTCTTAAGTTACTTTTCTATTGATGTGACGAGACACTGTGACCAATGCAACCTGTAAAAGAAGCGTTTAATTGAAGGCTCAGAGCTCCTGTAGGTAGTAGAGTCCATGACCATTGTTGCAGGGAGCGTGTAAGCAGGCGCACAGGCGTGGAGCTAGGGAGGTATCTGGAGAACTTACATGAGGCCCACGGGAGAGAGCAGGAACTACCGGGGAAGGACTTGGGCTTTTGAAACCTCAAAGCCCTACTCCCCCAAGTGACAGATCTCCTCCAACAAGGCCACCCCTCCTAATCCTTTTCAAACTGTTCCACCATCTGGAGACCAAGTATTTAAATATATGAGCCTATGGGCCATTCTCATTTAAACCACCACAGTACCTGAGTTCGATCCCTGGGACCCACACAGGCACACAAAATAAATAAAATATAATTTTAAAAGATTAAAGGGCCAGGCAGCAGTGGCACAGGCTTTTAATCCCAGCACTCAGGAAGCAGAGCCAGTTGGATCTCTGTGAGTTCGAGGCCAGGCCAGCCTGGTCTACAAAGTGAGATCCAGGACAGGCACCCAAACTACAGAGAAACCCTGTCTCGAAAAACAAAAACAAAAACAAAGATGAAAGGAAGTAGGCTGGAAGTACAAGTAATGTAGAGCCCCCGTCTACAGTGAGGGGTAGGGGCATGGCTCCGTGGCAGAGCACATGCCTTGAAACCCTACCCCACCCACTGGTGAGGGTCTGGGTGTGTGACTCAGTGGTAGAGCTCAGGTTTGCTTGTGGGAGACCCTGCACCTAAACCACAGTAGTACACACACAGTCACCTCCTGAGGTGCTTGGCATAAAACCGGCCACAAAATTCCGTTCCCAGTGGTTATTATTATTACCATTGTTATTGTTCCCATGAGTGTACTTTGGTGTGCAGTCAAGCTTCCCTGAGACACCACCGTTTTGAGGGGAAGATGATGGGTAGGCATATGACCTGTCCTCACCCTGTGCTAGATGCTGGTAGCCCCTGTCTGGGACCCAGGTAAGGCCACTATCCTTGAGGCTAGAGCCAAGCTGAGCTAGGAGGGCAGTTAGTTCCCTGGGGGTCTCGAGGCTAAAATGCTAGCACAGCCCTGGGCTTTAATGTTGTGCCCAGGCTTGGCTGGGGGCGGGTTTGCCCGTGCGCGATGGATAATGACTGTGTTTCTTGTCTTGTCTCTCTCCATGCCTGCTGTTTAAACTGTGTACTGGCGCAACGCCGTCTGAAAAACTCATCCAATCAAAATGCACTATGAAATCCATTTGTTCACCCATGACGTGGTCTGTGTGTCCATACACCAATGACTTACCTCCCAACCCACCGCCACCGCCACTGCCACCCCACTCCCCGCCCGGGAACCGAAACCCATTGGTTTTTTGGCACTGGTTACAAATCCACCTAAAAAATTAAATTAAAACAAAAACAAAAACGCTGAATCGCCTCCCCAACTGCCCCCGCCCGCTCCCCCTCCATCTTCAACATCTGCATCTAGAATCCGGTTGGTGTTACCTCTTTCTGAAGTGTAAATGCCTTACATTAACTGTGACTGCACTGCATGCCCCGCCCACCCCGCCTCTGTCCGTCTCCCGTCCTCTCTTCCTCCCCTTTCCTAGAGCTCCCTCTGGTTGGTTTTATTGGACTCTGGATCGGAGCTTCGGCTCCAAAGGGTTTGTGTCCTTGGCAAGAAAGGAATGTTCTCCCTCCTCTAGGACCCAGGGTGTGACCAGATTCTCCATCCCACTCACATCCCAGAGCTGACATAGTGGTGGAACAGAGCTGTGATCTCAGTGTTCAGAAGGTTAAGGCTAGCAGATTGAAGTCTGAGGCCAGCCTGATCTACATAGCAAGTTCCAGTCCAGCCAGAGCTACAGTAACTCTGTCCCAGATTTAAAAGAGAGAGAGAGAGAGAACCAGCAAAGACATCTGATATTAACCTGGAGATCCCACACGTGCATGTGCCTCCCACACACACAGCCCTGTTGGTACACCACATCTGCTCCCACCACATTCCTTGCCCCTTTGCAACCCTTAGTAGCCATGATTCCCCATCCCTGCCTGCTCACCTCCTGGAGACACACTGAAGGGCCTCCGGAGGTGTGCCCACAGTAAACATGCATTCATCCAGCAGACACAAATGGGGCCCTGTTAGGTGCCACTAATAAAGGGGCAGGTTGTCGCCCCCATTGCCACCCTGCTTGGCTGCTGTGAAGTAGGGGGAGGCAGACTTTGGTCCTCCAACCCCGATTCTACTGGAAAGTGTAACTTCACTGCTGGAAGAACAGGCAACATTAGAAGGCCTTCTGCCGCCCGGCCCCCCCGCCGCCCTGTGGGCAGGAGTGTGCAGAGGTCAAGGTCTGCAAGTGAGAGGATTTGGGTACAGCAGAGAGAAAGGCTGGTTCAGAAAGATGAAGGGACGGGGCATCTAGGCTTCATCCTGAGCAGTAAATAGATCTGCCAGGATTTGAATCAAGAGCACTTCTGGGACTGATCAGACAAGATTGCCAGGAAGCCCCAGGGGAGGTGACAGGGACATCGAGAATGGAAGGGGGGGGCACGGGACTCTCCAGGGCCTGGGGAGGGGCTGAGCCGGGTGTCTCTGGAAAACTAGAGATGGAAGTTAGGGAGTGGAAGGAGGCCAGGGTTTTGGGGAGAACACCTCTAGCCAGATGGAGTCTGAGACGCCCTTCGGATGCCGCAGAAGAACCCCAGTTCGGGGCCTGGGGCCTGAGGAAAGGCTCACATCTATAGGTAGTTTGGAGTGGTGCCCATGTCTTTCTACAAACCCAAGAGACACCTGCCCTTGAGCATGTCACTGGAAGAGAGCGCAAGGACCAGGATGCCACACACACCTGAGCCTGCATCCTCCGCTGCCGCTCAGCCTGGAGCACAGGGTGGGGTCTGAGTAGAAAGAGGACTCCTCTTGGGAGTTCCGTGTGCTGACAGGACTCCATGCAGACCCAGGAAGAGCTGGAGGAGCAGATGAGGCCTAAGACCCCTGACTTCTCCAGTCCCTACCCCTCCTTCCTCATGTGTGCGCATGCTCAGCGGCTGCTAGATCCCTGCTTCTGCATGTGCCAGTTTGGCCCAGCCTCAAACTGCTCCTATGAACCCCTGCCTCTGCATGGTCGGCCGAGCCCACATGTTATGACCCGCCCCACTGAAGGGATGGCTTGATCTCTGGAGGGCTGAGGGAAAGGGCTGGGACTACTTCTTGGTCGGTGGTCCCACCCCCAGTGGAGCTGGGTGGCTAGGCAGGACCAGGCATCAGGTCAGCTGGGCATGGTGGGTGACAGACTCTTAGCTAGGTTTGCAGGCTTGTATGAGTCTTTTGGAACAGGCTGACAATGATTGGGCCCAACAGTGTCCCAATGCAGGAGCCCAAGGCTTATTCTCCATCCCAGAAACCCTAGAATCAAGTCTTTTACCCCAGAGGCCTCTTACCAGCCTCAGAAATTCTCCAAACTCCAGTCACTGCCTCTCCGCTTCCAAGCCAGAGCTAGCTCAAGGCACAGGTCCACTAAAGGGAAGTAGGTTAAACATATAATTCACTGCCCAAAGACAAAGCATAGTGATGCCCCTGTAATCCTAGCACTCGGGAGTCTGAGGCAGGAGGATCTCAAATTCAAGACCAGCCTGCGTGATTGCACAACCCTGTTGCAATAAACAAATAATTCATTAGAGACATGTGACAGACCACAAGGATGCCGTTGTCAAAGCCGTCATCATTAGATCTCATTCAGTCTTGCCTCCTGACCTGTATCCAGAACTCCTACAAATCCTTAGACTGGCACACCAGTAAGCCCCCTTCTGGCCAGAGACCCCTTGCCCTCCTGCTTCATGCCTGCTGGGAATGACCATGTGGTCCCCAGGCAGAAAACTCAAATGCTCTGTGGCCAATTACCAGAGAGATTAGGAAACTGGAGAGCATGTAGCCAGACTCCAGGGTCAGATGTGAGAGGCCTGGGGAGCCAAAAAGCCAGATTGGTAGGCAAAATCTGATTTTTTAAATTAGCAACTTTTTTATTTAAAAAAAAAAAAGCTCGGGCCGACAAATTAGTTTCATTGGCTATATTGGGTCACTTCTCGCCCTTCACCAGCCTCCCCTGAAGCGCCCTGGAGAGTCCTGGGCCTTGCCCACAGTTTCCAGCCAGCCTCATCCCACTCTAACAGCCTGGGTGGGAGGCCGCAGAGGCAGCGACTAGACCTGGGTTTGGAGGACAGGAAGGGTCCACCTAGGGAAGTCCTGGGGCCAAGGATAGCTTCACCTCCCCACCCCCAGCACTGGCCCCTTGGTGGGCCCTGGGCTGATCAGAGCTCACTCGCCCCGGGAGCTCAGACCTTCCTGCTTCCCGCAGGCCTGGTCCCGAGACACCACCCAGCCCCAGAAGCTGAGAAGCCATCCCTGAGAGGGGGGAAAAGGGCCCCTAATGCATCTTCTCCGACTCAGCGGGCAGCGAGGACTCACCCTGCAGCCGAACAGCCCCAGCTCCCTCCCGTCCTCCCCATTCCCGCTCGCCAAGGGGGTAAGAAAAGATGCCCTTCCGCTTCTCCCCATTGGCTCCAGCCGCTGCCCCTCTGGGCCGTGGGGTGAGGTCAGGGCGGGCCGGAGCGGGTGGGCAGCTCGGCAGGGCAGGGCAGGGCAGGGTGCCCGGTGAGTCCCAGGACAGATGCATTTCTGGCCCGAGCGAGCGTAACATGCCCTCGGACCGCACTTGCCCCCTAGGCCTGCGTGTGCTGGCGCCCTCCCCCCACCCGGCCCGCGTCTGTGCTTCGTACTCGTGTGCTGGGTACTGCAATTGACCCGCTTGTGTCCTACCGTCTCAGTGCATTTGGTTGTTGGGAGAAATAAAAACCATCTCGATTTTTTTCCTGATTGGATGATTCGGATGTATTATTTTCTTTTCCGTGCTCTTTTGTTATTTTCTCCCCAACCCTGTTCCTTCCTCCTGCCCCCACCCTTTCCCCACTTGTGAGTGGACCTGGCTGGGTGGGCTTAAGCTTTTGAGTTGATATCTCTTCCTTCCCCACCCGCCCTCCCCCACCCCACTTTTTTAAAGTTCCCCTCTGCTCTATTGCATTAATGGTGCTTTCTCTCCTCTCCCTCCTTATTTGGGGTGTGGCTTGCTTTTTTCCTATTGGTTGGCTTCGTGTAGGGGCCTCTGTGAGTGTTGACTACTCTAAACTCCGCAGGGGGGGTGGATGGTCACCTCTCTTCCTCGTCTCCTCAGAATAACTTCATCAACCTGAGCTTTCTCCGCCTCTTCCGTGCCGCCCGACTCATCAAACTCCTCCGGCAGGGTTACACCATCCGTATTCTCCTCTGGACCTTCGTGCAGTCCTTCAAGGTGAGCCCAAGCCGCTGCCCCTGCTGCTGCCCCTGCTGCTGCCCCTGCTGCTGCCCCTGCTGCTGCTGCTGGTCCAGGCCAGAGCAGACCCCCTAGCTCTGGGCGAAATGAGGAAACCAAGCCGAAAGAGGTTAATGCACGACCCTGTCTAAGGTCTGCGCCCAGTGTCTGCAGAACTCTGAGGGCCTCGATCCAGACCCCAGCGTGACCGCCTGACCCAGTGCGGGCAGCTCAGAGCGATAGCTGCCTGGCACCCCTCCTCATTGCCTTCCTTCCCTCCAGGCCCTACCATATGTCTGCCTGCTGATCGCCATGCTCTTCTTCATCTACGCCATCATCGGGATGCAGGTGATCCCGCACCCTTGGGGTACCAGGGCTGCGGGAGGGGAGCCTGCCTCAGAGGGAGGCAGAGTCCCTGTGGCTGCCCCAGTCACCCTCCAACTCTCCAGGTGTTTGGCAACATCGGCATTGATGGGGAAGACGAGGACAGCGACGAGGATGAGTTCCAAATTACTGAGCACAATAACTTCCGGACCTTCTTCCAGGCGCTAATGCTTCTCTTCCGGTGAGGGGGTGGGGGTCCGTGCTTCTTTATGGGTTGGGTTTGAACCTGTCTTCATCCTGTGTGTTCATTACTCTTCTGACTGAGGACTAGTCCCTCTGACTCTTAGAGTTGGGGTGAACTTAAGTCTGCCCAGCTCTCCTCCTCTTCCCAATAGCGCTGGGGACAAGGACCCCGGCAGGGTAGAAGCAGCACAGAAGGAATATTCCTGCTATTACCTAGTCGAAGCCTCCTGACCAGCTTTGAGATGGGAGCATTTGTGAGACCCTGTCTTACGGATGTTAGAAACAAGAAATAATCTGTGTCCCACAAAAGAATACGCTAACAAAACAAGACAGTTCTATTTGTGAAAAGCATGCAACAAGACCCAACTGGTCTAGCAAGCATATCAGACCCAAGGTCGCTCCTGTCTCGTCCCTGACAGAGGTCGTGACTGTTCCATTGGTGGCAACTTTACTTCACAAGCTGGTGCAGAGGAGGAAAGGAAGCTTGAGGAAACGTGAGCCCTCGCTGGGCTGAATTCTTCCACAGAAAGCCAAAAACGTTTCTCACAGTTCCCCTTTCTTACACTCCTCCCGAAAACCTAGCCAACAAATATCGACCATTTGAAGTTTCTAGTAACAGTAAACCATTGTTATACCAAGTTATGGCTTAAGTGTGGTTCACAGTAAGCCCACCTTCCTGTAGAAAGGTCCCTTCACCAACTGATGGACCTGGCCCAGCTAGAGTATGAGGTTTTTACCCTAGATGGGAAGTGTTCTCTTGACCAGGAGATTTGCCTCAACAGACATTCCCTGCGTTGTCTTAGTCAGGCTTCTACTGCTGCAGTGAAGCACCAGGACCAAAAGCAAGTTGGGGAGGAAAGGGTTTATTTGGTTTACACTTCCACATCCTAGTCCGTAATTGAAGGGAGTCAGGGCAGGAACCTGGAGGAGCAGCTGATGCAGAGGCCATGGAGGAAGCTGCTTACTGGCTTGCTCCCCGTGACTTGCTCAGCCTGCTTTCTTATAGAACCCAGGACCACCAGCCCAGGGGTGGCACCACCCACAATGGGCTGGGTCCTCCCGCTTCGATCACTAATTAAGAAAATGCCTTACAGCTGCATCTTATGGAGGCATTTTCTCAATGGAGGTTCAGCTGAAGTGTGTGTCGGGTTCACTTAAGACCAGCCAGCGCCGGATATCTGGTCTCTGATAAGGATGGAACTGCTAAGAAGCACAGGGATGTTTTTGGCTTTTAGCCAAGAAAGAATCTGTTTACTTTGGGGTCTTTTCATCCTAAATTACCTAGACAGTTTCTACCTCCTGTTCTTATCACCACCCGAAGAGGTAACCCTGAATGATGATGTGAATTTGTGGCGGCTCCTGCCAGCTGAATTGGGGTATCAAGTGTGGTAGTTTTGAGTTACCCCTCCAGAGGAAAGGAAGCCTGATAGGTTCATGGAAAGGAGATGTGAGGGAGGAGCAGACGCAAGAGGGGTTAGCCTAGGCAGGGACCAGGAGAGCCAGAAGACACGTCCTGATCATGTCCCTTAGGATCTCTGGGTGGGCTCGCAAGAGCATCCGTCTACAGGGCTCCCCTCCATTTTCCTTTGGCCTTCATGGCCTGATTCAACAGTGATGAACTTAGGATCTATTTTCAGGCACTATGATAGCTGTTGGGTTGGTTAGAATCCGTGTGAAGTCCCTTCCAGATGGCTCTAGAAAGAGAAAGAGAAGAATTTTAAATTTTTTTAATTTATTTATTTTTATTTTATGTACATTGGTGTTTTGCCATGGATATTGGGTCCTCTGGAACTGGAATTACAGACAGTTGTGAGCTGCCATGTGGGTACTGGGAATTGAACTCGGTCCTCTGGAAGAGCAGTCAGTGCTCTTAACACTGAGCCATCTCTCCAGCCCAGAATTTTAAATTTTTAGTTTAAAAAAAAATAAAATAGGCTTATCTCTCTTGAGTGCAAGTAGTCCTTCAGTGAGCCAAAGTCTGAAGTCTTAAATCTGAGCAACTGAGCTGGACCTGTGGCGCACACCCTTAGCACCAGCACTCAGGAGGCAGTGGCAGGTGGATCTCTGAGTTCAAGGCCAGCCTGGTCTACAAAGTGAGTTCCAGGACAGCCAGGGCTATACAAAGAAACATTGTCTTGGGAAAAAAAAAATGGGCTGGAGAGATGTCTCGGTAGTTAAGAACACCAGCTGTTCTTCCAGAGGACCTGGGTTCAGTTCCTGGCAGCCATGTGGGAGCTCACAGTTGTCTGTAACTCCAGTTCCTGGAGCTCTGACACCCTCACACAGACATACATGCAGGCAAAACACCAATGTCCATAAAATAAAATAAAGTAAAGTAAAAATAATAGATCATTTTAAACAACCAAAAGATCAGAGTAGCATTTGTTTGTTTGTTTAAAACAGGGTCTCATTATGTAGCCCTGCTGTCCTGGAACTCACTCTGTTAGACCAGGCTGGTCTTGAACTCACAGAGATCCACCTGCCTCTGCCTCCGCCTCCTGAGTGCTGGGATTAAAGGTGTGCCACCATGCCCAGCACAAAGTCTGGGGAGTCCAACCCCTTGGACTTTTGAGGAAACATCAATCACTGGTGTTCTGTTACGTGTTCTTGCTGGGCAGTTAAGACCATGCAGATGGCCAAAATCAATCACTTCCTTTGGTTTGGGTTTGGGTTTCTCCTGTCAAGCCCAGTTGAGAGTCTGGTCCTCAGGGGTCACTACTTGGGCTTGAGAGGAACCTCTGGCTCCATCTGTTCGAGCACAAGTCTAAGGCTCACCATGACCTCACTCCGTCCTCTGTGCCTCCTCCTCTCTGTAAGCTGGACACTGGTTAGAGTTCACCTAGTAGGTCTCCATGGCCTCCCTGAACAAGAGGACAGGTGACTCCCGTAGTTACAGGACATTTTAGAGAAGCCCCACAGTGCCCTGGAGTCTAGTTGACCTTGGAGAGAAAGGAGGGAATACTGTCTTTTTAATCCCTCTGCCCACAGCAGTACCGGCCTCCAAGTATGGTCACTGAACACTGAGAAGGTCAGCTACAGCAGTCAGGTATTTTAACTACTGTGTTTGCCTAGACAGAAACAAAACGCTCCTACAAGAAACATGGGTTAGACTTAACGCTCCTACAAGAAACATGGGTTAGACTTAACGCTCCTACAAGAAGCATGGGTTAGACTTAACACTCCTACAAGAAACATGGGTTAGACTTAACACTCCTACAAGAAACATGGGTTAGACATACATGTTTGCCCTTTAACCCAGTCCTGCACTCATCAAGAGCGGGTCAATAACACCATTTATTTAAACAGACATTTAACATCAATGTATTGAAACTGGACCCTAGAAATGATAATGTCATATGCATAATCTCTAAATCTCGTCTTTTACAAACTTTGAATGACTTCAGACTTCATATGTGCATAGACTTCCTGGTTTTCTTTTTCATTCTAGAAACATCCAGTCATCTTAATCTTCATGCACAAACCATTCTTTACTAAAGCTGTTTCCATTCTCATATCCTTCTGACATTTTCTGTTACTCATCATTTTCTTTCTTAACATCATGAGACCTAATATTAACGTTAACAAGATAAATTGACCACCTGTTGTGAGAATTTTTTCCCTGCAGGTCCTAAAGTCCTAATGACAAACCAAAGTTCACCTGGGGCCTTACTTACAAGGGCATGGCTGAGGGGTTCTGACAGAGGTGTGGTGACCTGAAGCCACACTGCAAAGTCTTCCCTCAGTATGGACAGTGGCTTCCCCACGGTGCAGCCTGCTCTCTCCAGTCTTCCCGCCTTTATGTTTTAGCTCCTCCTCAGGACCTCAAGGCCAAGTTACCAGGAGGGCAGAACCACACACAGCCGGCTGGGAGGAGGGTCTGGGTGCTCAGTGAGGGTCCAGTGACCCAGCCCACACCCTCCTCTTATGAAGGAACATCAGTAGTACCAGGTCCAGCTGTGATGATCTTTTTAAAGATTTATTTATTTAATTCTGTATTGTACACATGCACCTCTGCATATGTATGTACGTACACCACATGCATGCAAGAGACCTCAGAGGTCAGAAGGTGTCAGGGCCTCAGAACTACAGTTACTGTAAGCTGCCAGGTGGGTACTGGCGACACTGGCGTCTGTAAGAACAACAATCCCTTATTTTTTTAAGTGATTTTTTTGAGATTATAACATAATCACATCACTCCCCATTTCCCTTTCCTCCCTCCCAGCCTCCCCCACACTCTTTTAAACCTATGGCCTCTTTTTTCATGAATTTTTCAATAACATCCCTATGTTACTAAATAGAGAAGTACATCCTGCTCAGTCCATACATTGTTACTTGTGTGTTTCCTGGGCTGACCCTTTGGTGTTAGATAACTAACACCCATCGATGTGCTCTTCCTGAGGAAGATGATGTCTCCTGCTCAGCATTCCTCAGTCGCCTGTAGTTCTCCGCACAGGGTAGAAGACTTGTGGGCTCCCTCCCACCTGGCCTGCGCCAACCACAGTACCTGTCTGGTATGCTTGTCCATCTCTGCAGCCCCCGTGGCACAGCTAGTCTTATGAGGATGGCAGTCGTTTGCCTTAGAGGAGAGAGCTGTGCACCACCACACTCATAGAAGAAAGCCCCATCTAAACTACACACAGGATAACGTAAAAAATAACAGCAATAACCTTATGGGCCTGGTGGTACCCACTTTTAATCCCAACACTGGGGAGGCAGAGGCAGAGGCAGGTGAATCTCTGTGAGTTCAAGGCCAGCCTGGTTTATATAGCAAGTTCCAGGACAGCCAGGGCTACATAGTCTTGAAAAATAAAAAATAAATAAATAAATAAATAATAACATACCATGTAGACATTTAGACATTGATAACAAGATCTATAAGCTCCAAGGTAAGTCTTTCAGAAAACACAAGACAGTCAGGTATTGTTGTATAGCTTGTACATCCGGAGGATGGCCATCAGAGCCATGCTTCAGGCTTTGAATGACAGAGACTTAGTAAAACCTCATCAAACTGATGTTTGCAATGTCACCCAGCTAAGGAGGCCTTGTGAGTAGTGACACTGGAGCTACTGTGAAGTTTGGTTTCGTTTTGAGGTTTTGTTTGTTTGTTTTATTTTGGGGTTTTTGGTTTTTGTTTTTTGTTTTTTTAAGCCAGCAGATCCTCTCTGTCCTCAGTTTGACCTGATTATTTTCCATTCCTGACCTTATCTCAATGCCTATCCCTAAGGAGGAAATTTCTTGAATCTAAACTGAGAGCCCTTGGAGCCCCCGCGGGTCCAGCTCTTGTTCTCGCTCACAAGTCCTGAACACCAGCTGTGATGTGCAGCTTTCCTGGGCCCTTCCCCGCATTGCTGAGAAACTTTGCATCCTTGAGCCTTTCCAGCCTAGTTTACCTGAGACCCTGGGAGCACCACAACATGGCAGGGGACATGTCTTCCAGGGAAGAGTCTGATCACTCTCCCTGATGGGCTTGAAATTCAAGACAGGCCCCCGAATTGTTAGAAACAAAGAGTAACCTCCATGTTCCATGAAGGGACACACCAAAAAAAAAATTCTTTTTTTAAAACGTACAGGCCCAAACCCAAATCAGTCTAGCAAGCACACAGGACCAAGATGACTTCTGCCTTTATCCTTGGTATAGGTTGTGACTGCATCTCATCCCATTGGTGGGAGCTTGAAGCCAGCCTGGTCTACAGAGTGAGTTCCAGGACAGTCAGGGCTACACAGAGAAACCCTGCCTCAAAAACCAAACAAGCAAAAAGTTCAGAGAGAGTGGGAAGCAGAGTGTGCTGCTCATCCGCGGTGCCAGCGCACAGGAAGAGGCCAGCCTAGGCTACACAGCGTGAGGCCAGCCTAGGCTACACAGCGTGAGGCCAGCCTAGGCTACACAGTGTGAGGTCAGCCTAGGCTACATAGTGAGACCCTATGAGAGATATAGATCCTGAGAAGGACATCTAAGCAAAAGATACAGCCAGTGCAAATGCCCTGAGGCAGGAGCATGGTTGATAGGCTTGAAGACAGGGAAGAGCCTGGCATGCTTGGCGAGCAACCCGGAGACGGGGCCCTAAGAGATGGACATGTGGAGGGAGAAAAGTCTTGGAGTCACACAGATCCCCAGATGGCCACCACCAGCTCTCCCACACCCCACTGGGTCCCTGCTTCCCCTGCACTTCGCTTCTCATCTTTCTGACATTTGTCACATTGTATCGTGTGTGGGTGTGGCACCTCTGCCGTGGCACCTCTGCCGTGGCACACACGTGTAGCGCAGAGTGTCCACAGCTTGTGGGAGTCAGTTCTCCCCTTTTACCGTGTGGGTCCCAGGGATCAAAGCCCGGTGGCCAGGCCTTGTGACAAGAACCTGTCTGTGCTCACTGAGCCCTTCCCATGGACTTTTAAGGCACAACCAGGTCGAGCAGAGCCCTGTGAGCACTCAAGGAGATGGTCCCCTGAGACTTGGGCCCATGACTGGCCAGCTCAGAGCCTCAGTTCGTACCCCGGTAGGGAGGCAGTGGTGTCCATTTGGGGCCAGAGCCCAGGTCACAGGTCACGGGTCACTGATGCTGCCTATCCTCAGGAGCGCCACAGGAGAAGCGTGGCACAACATCATGCTCTCCTGCCTGAGTGGGAAGCCGTGTGATAAGAACTCTGGGATCCTCACAGCTGACTGTGGCAATGAGTTTGCATACTTCTACTTCGTCTCCTTCATCTTCCTTTGCTCGTTTCTGGTGAGTTTTCACACGGAGGGCCATGTCCTCAGCCCTGCCCTTGACTCCAGTACAGGAGTCTCTGTAGACTGTGACTGGGGTAGAAGACTTGCTTCCTCCCTGCTCCTGACAAATTGTCTCCTCCGTGGTGACAACTGGATGGGTGGCTGTGGGTCTAAGCACTGTAAAGGAACACCCGCCTCCTCTACTCTGAGCCATAGTAGACACTCCTTCCTGCAGAGGCCCGGGGCCTTCCCAGCTGGAACTGGCCCCCAGTGAAAACCTGATTAGCTCTGGTGGGTAGATTTGGACCTTAGCAGGCTCTGGCTTTGGCCCCGGGCTCACATAACGCACCATGCCTCCACTGTGCCTCTCTCGGGCTTTGCCTCTGGGCGTGTCTGTCTGTCCATCTCTCTCCCCTTTGCCGGGCTTCCACTCTCACTGGCCCTTGAGTGGGTATCTTCTGTGTCTGTGCCGTTTATGTGTACACCCTTTCTTTCCCTTGGGTCTGTGTGTCCCTTGCCCCTCCCCCATGCTCTCCTCTCTACTCCCCTTGGCCCCCTTGGCCCCCAGATGCTGAATCTCTTCGTCGCTGTCATAATGGACAACTTCGAGTACCTCACCCGAGATTCCTCCATCCTGGGCCCCCACCACCTGGATGAGTACGTGCGTGTCTGGGCCGAGTATGACCCTGCTGCCTGGTAAGGAGGATCACAAATCTTCTGGCTGTGTTGCTAACCTCCTCCTGAAACTGGGACAGGAACTAAGTCAGGTCTCGGGTGTGAGACATCAGAACCTCAGGAGTGAGGAGTCCAGGGTGGGAATCATGACTTCCACACTACCTCAGGCTGAGTGCAAGCTACCCCTTGTCCAAGCCCCAGCCTTTCTAGATGAAGGTGGTCAACTATGGGGATTTTCAAGGTGCCCTGTCCTCCACAACTCTTCTGGTCTCTTACGGTGAGGCCTCCAGGTGGTAACCTACATTAAGAACCTCTGGCCTCCATTCACCTGGGAGTGTTGAGGCAGCCCTGGCCCACGTTGGCACATGCCCCGGTGTTAGAGTGGCAGCATTCAATTCAAAATTTAAAGTAGGCTGGACATTGTGGCACATGTGGGCAATCCCAACACTCAAAAGGCTGAGGCAGGAGAACCAGGAGTGCAGGGCCAGCCTGGGCTACAATTGACCTTGTTTCAAAAACAAAATAAGCCAGGCATTGTGGCACACACCTTTAACACCAGCAAACAGGAGGCAGAGGCAGGCAGATCTCAAGGCCAGCCTGGTCTATAGAAAGAATTTCAGGACAGCCAGGTCTATTACACAGAGAAACCCTGTTTCAAAAAACCAAAAACAAATAATAATAATAATAATAATAAAGCTTACAAAAGAGCCAGGCACAGTGGCGTATACCTATAATCCCAGCTTTTAGGAGACTGAGGCAGGAAGACCAGAAGTTCAAGGTCTATTACCTTACTTCAAATAAAATTTTAGGGCTAGCAAATGACTCAGCATGTAAAGGCACCTGCTGCCTAGTCTGACTGAGTTCAATCCCCAGGATCCACCCGTATGGTGAAAAGCAACTCTCACAAGTTGTTCTCTCACCTGCACACACGCACACACACACACACACACACACACACACACACACAC